TGTCCTTTAACGGTGGCTTGTTTTTATCCAGTAGCCCCTTGGAGGTTTGCGCTCCGTCCTCACTGATGACCGCCGCAGCCAATATTGCAATAGACATTTTATCAAGTTTACGGATGAGGTGTCATATGGCTTTCTTTGCTCGAGGGAGGAAATGGACACAGTGATGTAGTGGATGGCTACGTCTAAGGCTATGATGAATTTATTTATTTATTTGGATGAAGAATTTTGTAAGAAAACAGGGCAAACCATTTTTAGAAGTTTATGTTTGTGTGTGTTAATGCTAACAGTTGTTAAAGACGCTGAGGTCTGCAGATTACTCTATTTTCTGGACTTTAGAGTACTTTAAGAAGTTTCTCCAGTAAACTGTTTTATTGTGCTTTCCAGTAATTGTGTCAGGTTTTAGCACCCAGCTTGAGTTGAACTGATATGATTTAATCCGCTAAGAGCGCTGATGTGACAGATAAAACTTAGCCAGGCTAGTGGTACTTGCACTAATACTGAAAGACCTTTTGAAAAATGCTCATTTTGACAGTGCTAACCTGGCTGTAGTGTGTAAAATTGTAGTCACTTTTAATTAATATTAAAAGTAAAGTGACCTGACTAATGAGTTACATTGCAATAGAGTGTTTCTTCTTCACCAATCTGGATTTAATCATTAGTTATAATTAAACCTGGCTCTCTAAAAGAGCGTCTTTGGTGCTGTCTACCTCCCCTCCCCCCCAACCAGGCGCGGCAGATTGCCGCACCTCCCTGAGCCTGGTTCTGCTGAAGGTTTTTTCCTGTTAAAATTGAGTTTTTCCTTCCCACTGTTGCCAAGTGCTTGCTCATAGAGGTAATCTGACTGTAGAAATTTCTCTGTACTATTGTAGCATCATTACCTTATAAAATAAAGCACCTTGAGGCGACTGTTGTTGTAATTTGGTGTTATATAAGTACAACTAAATTGAGTTGAAGTGGTTGGAACTGATCACAGCACCAGATGAAAGGGGGTCAGGATTACTGATTACCACTGCAGTGCATACATGGGTGTGTTCGTGTTTCTAACAAATACTGTGCCAATCTACCACACACTTGACAAGATTCAAGTCTGAATCCATGTAATGAACCAGCCAACAGACATTGCCATCACTAGATCCACACTGCTGTAAGGCAAAAACAACAACAACAACAAAACATGACTTGACAGCATTTTATTATTGCGAGCGGGAAATATTCATTCTCAAGAGCTCATTAAACAGGAAACTTGTTCTAAATGAAAAGGAAACTGCTTCTTTAACAAAGTGCTCTGATATCGCTTCTAACATCAAACATAAAGATACCGGCAGCGATGACGAGAGAGCATACAGGTGTCCTTTGAAGACCCATACCTGTATCTGGAGCGTCCTCAGTGTTCTGAGTCGCTGCATAACAAACTGTACTGCATGGGGAAAATAGTTCAACTTGAATTTAAATCAGACAACAAAGCTTCACGGGCTGTGATGAACGATGCTTGCATCAACTGTCTATTCTCGTGTTTTTATAAAATATTAATAAGATTCATTCACACGTACACCTTTAACAGCATTATAAATAAAGACAGTGGTGCTGGTAAATAAAGAAGGACAGCATGCCTCCATTTCATAACACAGCCTGCAGTGAGATGACTGCACCCTCCTCTCCAAAAAATATGTACAGTAAAAAAAAGGACTTGCATTTTATTAGCATGCCCTTTAAAAAGGAAAAATATCCACCGTTGCAATTCTTTAAAGTTCATAGTTTTCAGCCCTTGCTGCCATTGCTCAATCTGTGGTAATAAGAAGAAGGTATGGAGGCGAAACTACCCTGGGCTGCATGACTCTTGACCTACAGCTGAGCTCAAGGACAGCGGGATGTGTACAAATGAGACATTACTGTCTGAGGAGTTCTGCAATTCTCTTGCCAGCCGGCACGATGAACTGCTGTGTCATGCTGTTGTCTATGGCCTTAGGTCAGTACGAAGAAGGGAGTGAAAAGACTGCTGCTCAAGTGTGTCCGGTCTGTGATAATCAGGCAAAAAGATCATTATGGAACTTAGCATGAATCACATTTTCAAGGGTAATCATTTACTAGCTGGATAACTGATAAAACGTGTTCTTAAAAACGAACGATTTGTCGTTAAACAGCTTTTAAGCTAATGCCAAAGTGCTCTCTGTAATATCAATAATTAAGACTCTGTGTCAAAAAGGTGGGAATACATGTAGGAGGGATTAGTTCCCATTTCAGCGCCGCCTTTGGATGAGCACGGATCAGATATACAATGAGAGCGAAGCCCTGACATTCAAACCTCTGAGAAATTATCTGTCAGTCTAACTCAGGGGGATGAGGAGCTCCGCTTATGAATTTCATTTGTCATCACACTCTATTCTAAAACAGGTCACTGGCTTTATTTTCTTTGTTATTAATGCTTTTCATCCATTTTCATTTTTCTGTCGATAAATGTCTTATCAGCTTGTCAAACATAAAGCAGTCTGGTATCAAAACGATAAAAGGATGATAGAACTGATACTGTCGAGTATGAAGCCCACTGAATTGTGTTGGAAATTTTTATTTAAATATACCTCAGTCATTTGCTATGAAAAATGGCTGAACCTTTTTGTGTTGACTGTCACATCTATTTTATTTGTAGCCTATAGCACATTTAAACAACAGACAGTGACTTAGAGACAGGCACATTTACATTCCAGGTCTCCAAAAAACAGTTTCAAAATACACAAAAAGCTGAAATATGTGTTCTTTCGTTTTAACTAAATATTGTGGGACGTAAGGATTCATCTCATTAATCACGACCCGCTGCTCTCCCCTACATACGCTGCTTTTATAGGTAAAAAATATCAGTATCTGTATCAGCAATACTGGCTGTGTATTTACTTGGTATTGGATTTATACCCAAATTTGCAGTATTGTATTGCATAAGCACTGCGTTGAACCTCAGCAGGTCATTTTTGCAGTCTTTAATAATGCATTAAGTTGCTGCAATGTGATCGTATATATGTATATATACACACACACAGAGCTACATTCAGCAGACCTCTTGTGATAAGGGTAGTTCAGCAGCTTTTAATACCAGTAGCCCTCCCTGACACAACCCAAAAGGAGAGTTGTGTTCTGGAATTGAACCAGCGACCATTTATTTGTTAGGTCACTATGTAATCCTCTACACTGCACACTTCCAGAGGCTGAAATTTTTTATGTTTTTCTGTACTCATCCCGCACAAATAAAATAAAACCACACCACTAAATTTAAAAAAAATTAAGGGAACAATTATAGGGAACAGTATAAGTCAAAGTCAATTAAAATTCAGGGACATCGATTCGTCCACTTAAGAATCATAAACCATTTTTCATTTCCCCTGCTTTGGTGACAGTGAAATGTTTAAATGAAATGTTGTGTGCCCGACAGGTATTAAGACAAGACGCCCTGGGCGATGACTGAGAGTTCCCTTTTTTTATTTATTTTATTTATTAACTTTAAAACCCTGTTAGCGGTTGGATGATACTATGTCACCATCCCATTTACTGATAAATATGTTACTGACTTCATGCTCCAATCATCTATACAAACTATACAATGTATACATTACACTCCATATGTTTTCCCCATTTACAAACCAAACTGCTGATAATACTACAGAAAAGTCCTTTTTAAAAAACAACATGCTACACTATATCAACAGCACAGACATTAAATATTGAGGAAAAAAATCTTTATTTAAAGAAAAGAGGGGAAAAAAAGAGTTTTCTTCTCGTGTTAGGTTTGTAAAACTTGATAAATATTGTGGATTATTTCTTAAAGAGTGCATCACAGTCTTGAATGGTCCATCAGCCTGATTTGGATATGAAATCAGAGAGAAAGAAAAGCACATCTGAAAACTAAATGGCGAACTTGTTCCGGATGATTTCGCCACCTTCCACTTCCATCTGCTCGTAAAGCCACTTCCTGTCACAGCGGCACTCAATGCCACACTTGCGAGATCCACATTCAGGGCACGGGTAGAAGCAGCCCATGCAGTCCACATCCAAACAGTCACACAAGTCCTTGCCATTGGAGAGCAGTCGCCCTTTGTTGTCGTACACTTTGTTTTTGGCTCCAACATTCTGCCTGCGTGATTCAAACAGACAATGTCTTATAGAACAGTTGCATCTGGTTTTCTTTAAAGCTTTTCTCTTCTGATAGTTTTGGTCATTTTTTAAAGTTTCATTCTAAAACTGTCATATAAGAAGGTCATAACTGAATGTAAACCACCTCTTTATGAACCCAATTTAATGCTTATTATGTCTGACAATGTTAATAATACTTAAAAACCAGCCACAGTTCCTTGTTTGAAACCCTGGTAAAGCTTTGAGTCAGGAAAAGCTCATCTTCTGAACACACTTATAGGATAGTTACTTTGGGTTGGTCACTATATTTCATGTGTTTTGTCATAAAGTGGTTAAAATTTATACAAAGACTTTGTGTCATTGTTAGATGATACTTAACCTCCTAGGACCTGGCGTCCACATATGTGGACATCACGTTTTGGGATGTCTAGCCTAAAATACTTAATTTCTCTCTACAAGGGCCTGATATCCATTTACGAGGACATTATACTGCCACTGTTCTATCAAAATTTGAAACAAATGTCCTCATATGTGGATCTCATTTTTCTCAAAAAACAAAAAAAGAGGTGAAAAAAAAAATCTGGTAATTTTTTGTTTTTACATTGTTTAGGTCCCAATCAACCCAAATAGCAAAGAAAAATTAAAAATGCATGCCATGAAAGAGTTCGGGTCTTAGGAGGTTAAGGATGTACAAAGGAAAAGTTTAATATACTGCAGGAATTACAGTCTTTGACTGATTGGTTGGTTGGTTGATTGATTAGATCACACCACACCAAATTCTAAAACTTGTGGATGCCAATTTAGCTTATTTCTATCCACATAAGAGTTCCTGGCTGCTGTGGCAAAACCCCGCCAACTCATCAATACACACTCTGGCAAATGAGAACGGAAATCTGAGGAATGTCACCAGCAGATGGTCTTAATTTAAGTTTTTTTGGGGGGGTTAATGTGTTTCTTCTCCAACAGTCTGCATAAGGGCACAATCACTTAAGCCAGAAAAGGAGAATGTTGTCCACGCAGGCATAATTTATGTTCACATCTAATTAGCAAACTAAGTGCAAGACAGTAAAAAAGGATTCATGGCAAAAAGAACTTAGTGTTAAGCACAAACAAATGCTTCTACCATCAAACTCAGTGGAGATAACTGTATGCCTGCATCCACACAGGGAACATTTTTA